ATCCCTAACACGTGGAACTAGGGCTCTTCATACCCAAGTGAGAGAGCGTTCTACTCCATAGAGAGAGAGGAAAATAGAATACAAAGCAGTCATACTCATAACAATGGGAAGAATCTGCTCTGGGATGATGATCTTCACTCCTATGATGATCTCCAAGCTCGATTGATGAAACCCAGCTCCAAAAGCACTTCTAGGATGTGTTCTTCGCACTTTATCTCTCTAGGGCTCTGTTTTTGCTCTGAAAAGTCGATCTTCTCTCTTTTTGCTCGAATTTGGGTTAAAACCCAGAAAATCCCGACCACACGGGCAGGCCACACGGTCGTGTGGCTTCCACAGCTGCCCGTGTGAGTGTCAAAACGCCGAGTTTCGATTAAGTGGACTTCATCCATCCTACACGGCCACAACCACACGGCCGTGTGGATTTCCAAGATGCCCGTGTGAGTTCCCTGGAATTTCCACACTGCCACATGGGTTCCCTTACACGGCCGTGTGGCTTTTAGGCATGTCCGTGTTGCTTCTCAGCTTTTCGCCAAACGTCCAAACTTTGTCCAATCGACCCCGAACTCGTTCCCAAACCTTCATTCACGTACTAGGACCTGAAATATCACAAACAAGCACAACATAGCATTAAAATCGGCCTAAAACACGAGAATCGACATCTCAAACGGCTCAAGAATAGGGTTAAAAACATATGCAATTAACGGTCTATCAGATACCAAAGAAATTGAAATCTGGGCCTCATTACCAGGAACTCATAACCAAGAATATGATGCAAGGATGCAGAAACTGGTTTGCTGCTTGTCTTGTTCTTCAAGTTTTCAAACTTGACTTATCGCTTAGTTGTTAGTTGTTTTTCATTTGCCGACTTTGTCGTTAAATATCGATGAGGGGGATGTTTTCATTTGCAGAAATTGGGCCTAGACTGGTTGCTTAAGGATGATATCTGCGGGGAGTTTTCATTTGTGGACTTTGTAGTTAGATATCGCCAGGATGTTGCTTGTCAACCAAATGGGTACCCTCTCCGGTAATTATTTGTTCGCATCATGACCATGGTAATTATTTGTTATATAACAGATTTGATTGTGGACTATTTGTCGCCAATTACTTGCTGGATCCAGATCGATATTCCAAGAATCTTGACCAGTTCGACAGTGACTATGAACGGGCACAACTTACAATGTACTTGCTCACTACGCGTTTGAATGAGGTGCAAGCTACAGTTAAGGCACAATCAGATGAATATTTTGAGAGTCATGCGAGACCTGTCCAAATTGAGACCGAGAAGGTGAATTTCAAGACGAACTTACTCAATCGAGGTAGAAAGCCATTGCACACGCATGGGGAGAAAAAGGGTAGAAAGTCTAAGAAGCATTGAGAGTTGTGTTGTTAATGTAGAGTTTAGTTAATGTGGATGTTGAATGAAGTTTAGGAAAATGTAGATGTTGATTGAATTTTAGTGAATGTAGATGCTGAATGAAGTTTAGGAAAATGTAGATGTTGATTGAATTTTAGTGAATGTAGATGCTGAATGAAGTTTAGGAAACTGTTGAAATTACAATGAAGTTATGAATGAAGCATTATTCAGCGATATTCTCTTTTCTCTATATTATGTTTAATGTGTCGACAAGAAAGAATTTAGGAATGATCATATACCGAAAAATGGTTGAAAATGATCCTTATTCACCCTACCAGCAGGCTGTTTCACGGCCTCAATAATCCATTCTCACAACCGTGAGATTGGGTCGTGATATGGTGATTTCCCTGACGCCTTAAGGATGGACCTTTCACGCTCGTGAGACTAGGCCGTGAGATGGGTTTTTCCTAAAGCCTTAATGATGGAATTGCACGCCCGTGAGACTGGGCCGTGAGAATGAAAAAAACATTCCCTTTAGTTCAGGGAACTTCACGGTCTTGAAAGGTGTATCTCACACCCGTGAGATTGTGTGCGTGAGTTAGTGAATAAAAATGTCATTTAGAAGGATCGAACCCGCGCACTTGGAATAATCATTCAGTGCATTAACCAGTCAGACTACCTAACATGTTTTGTAAAATTCATTGTCCGTTTTCCTTTTACTACATATGGTTGAATGAGCGTTTGATTATCGGTTTTGGGTTCAACCCATGTAACTGTAAACTGATATGAGATTGAGGTTAGGTATATGGTTGATTGAGTGTTTGATTACGGTTTTTGGTTGAACCCATGTAATTGTGAACCGATGTGAGATTGGTTGATGATATATGGTTTAGTGAGTGTTTGATTACTGTTTTTGGGTTGAACCCATGTAATTGTGAACCGATGTGAGATTGGTTGATGATATATGGTTTAGTGACTGTTTGATCACGGTTTTTGGGTTGAACCCATGTAATTGTGAACCGATGTGAGATTGGTTGATGATATATGGTTTAGTGAGTGTTTGATTACGGTGTTTGGGTTGAACCCATGTAATTGTGAACTGATGTGAGATTGGTTGATGATATATGGTTTAGTGAGTGTTTGATTGCGTTATTTGGGTTGAACCCATGTAATTGTGAACCGATGTGAGATTGGTTGATGATATATGGTTTAGTGAGTGTTTGATTACGATTTTCGGGTTGAACCCATGCAATTGTGAACCGATGTGAGATTGGTTGATGATATATGGTTTAGTGAGTGTTTGATTACTGTTTTTGGGTTGAACCCATGTAATTGTGAACCGATGTGAGATTGGTTGATGATATATGGTTTAGTGACTGTTTGATCACGGTTTTTGGGTTGAACCCTTGTAATTGTGAACCGATGTGAGATTGGTTGATGATATATGGTTTAGTGAGTGTTTGATTACGGTGTTTGGGTTGAACCCATGTAATTGTGAACTGATGTGAGATTGGTTGATGATATATGGTTTAGTGAGTGTTTGATTGCGTTATTTGGGTTGAACCCATGTAATTGTGAACCGATGTGAGATTGGTTGATGATATATGGTTTAGTGAGTGTTTGATTACGATTTTCGAGTTGAACCCATGCAATTGTGAACCGATGTGAGATTGGTTGATGATATATGGTTTAGTGAGTGTTTGATTATGGTTTTGGGTTGAACCCATGTAATTGTGAACCAATGTGGGGTTGGGTTTACGGTATATGGTTGATTGACATTTGATTATGGTTTTGGGTTGAACCCATGTACTTGTGAACCAACGTGGGATTGGGTTTACGATATATGGTTCATTGACGTTTGATTATGGTTTTGGGTTGAACCCATGTACTTTATATGGTTGACTGAGCGTTTGACTATGGTTTTGGGTTTAACCCTTCTAATTATAAACCGATGTGAGATTGATTTACGATATATGGTTTAGTTAGTGTTTGATTATGGTTTTGGGTTTAACCCATCTACTTGTTAACCGATGTGAGATTGGTTGAGAGTATATGGTTTAGTGAGTGATTGATTATAGTTTTGGGTTGAACACATGTCTTGTTAACCGACGTGGGATTGGGTTTATGGTATATGGTTGATTGAAGTTTTATTATGGTTTTGCGTTGAACCCATGTACTTTATATGGTTGACTGAGCATTTGAATCTGGTTTTGGGTTTAACCCATCTAATTATAAACCGATGTGAGATTGATTTACGATATACGGTTTAGTGAGTGTTTGATTATGGTTTTGGGTTGAACCCATGTACTTGTGAACCGACGTGAGATTGGTTGAGAGTATATGGTTTAATGAGTGTTTGATTATGGTTTTGGGTTGAACCCATGTACTTGTGAACCAACGTGAGATTGGGTTTACTGTATATGGTTGATTTTCGTTTGATTATGGTTTTGGGTTTAACCCATCTAATTATAAACTGGTGATTTTTTTGGGTCGGACATAATGAAGAAATTCCTAGATCCTAAACCCTCACCGTCGTAAGTCGTAACAGTGATGTAGTTTCTTCCTTCTCTTCCTTCGTTGGCGCCAAAGGACTGATCCTCGGTTCCTCCCTGTCGGCTTCTTCCTTCCTGCTTCCCTCCCTCCATCCCAGCCTCAGTTCTTAATTGTCGTCCTTCGTCGGCTCCTTCTCCACCAATATTAAGAAACCAGATTCTTCCTATCTCCCTTCCTTCGTCTTCCCTTCTCTACGCAAACATCGATTTTCCATTCTCCCTTATTCACCAATCCTTCGCCACCCATCCTTCGCGACGGAGACAGATCGTTTCTATCCGAGACGGCGACGAGGCAGAGAGAGCAAGTGGGTTTTAATAGGTAAGGGCATGCGTGATTTTTCGTGGGGGGTTTGAGTTGTTAATGGTTCTTATTTGGGTTTTCTGTTTTAATATCTGGGTTGAATGGTTCGGTTGAGGGGAAGAGATGGAATTAGTGTCAATAGGAGGGTAAGGAAAGCCTACCGCCGGCAGCTCTGAGCTTCGTCGACGGCAACGCCAATGACCAAGGGGAACTTTCCTTGTGGGTTTTCGGAATTTTAAGTTTACTACTAGTTGTGTGTTGAGATTATGCCTATTGTGTTTGCGAATTTTGAGAAATCGTGTATGTATAGTTGGGTTTTGAGACTGAAATTATGATGGTTTTGGGGCTGGAAATTGTGTTTAAGTTTAGATGTGGTTATTGTGCATAGTTTGGTATGTGGAAGTTTGAAGCGTGTGTTTTCTGGTTAGTATTCTTGCTCCTGCATATAGCCAGGGAGGCAGAAAAAGCAACTTTGACTTCATGTCCTGGATTTTGGTTCACATTCTTTATCAATCATTTTATTTGAACCATTTTTATGTGTGATTTGAGGATCTGCAGAATCATAAGTAATGAGGGGGGGTGAAAGGGCTGCCTTTTGAGGTTAACATTGGGCTTGGAGGATTCTTAAAGATGCACAGAAACTATGTGGCTTATATGCATATGCCTCTAATATTTTTTTGTTTCTTGTTAATTGATTAGTGAAGTGTTTGATTCGGTCGGTTGTGGGTGGTGAATATGTGGATTTCAATTGTCTCTAAACTTCATTTTGTTGGTTGTTTTCAGTTGATCAACTATGGAAGGGTTGATGGATGATATGAGCACATGCAAGGACACAGGAATTGACTTGAATGTTGGTTTAGATTGGGAAATGGATTATGGAGATGATACCGGTGGTGTTAGAGATAGTGACGATATGGAGGACAATGTTGGCACCAGCGATAGTGATTCTGAGGATGATAATAACACTAACATTGGTGATGATGATAAGGAGAACATCTCATATGAGCATTTGCACAGCTTCGAAACACAGCCACACAGCTCATATGCACCTCTACACAAAGATGCTGCAAATCCAGCCATGGCTCCACCATACTCGAGTATGTATGACTGGACCCTGCTTGATAAAGTCGGGAATGGGAAGCCATTTTCTAAATGGGAGTCGGATGATGTTGTGGGTATTGAGTTTGAAACCCTTGTGGAGGCTGGCAAGTTCTATTCAACTTATGGTTGTGCCATGGGATTCAGCGTATGAAAGAACACTCACATATATTTAAAATATGGAGTTAGAAATATGCAGCGATGGGTTTGCTCACATGAGGGGGAGCGTCAGCCAGTGCACAATGACAAGGAGAACAAAAAGAGTGAACCTAGGCCTGTAACAAGGCTCCATTGTCCGGTTGCTTTCAAAGTCAGTTTTGTTGAGGCAACTAACCGATTCAAGGTGAAGCAGTTTGTACCAACACATTTTCATCACTTAGCTGGAGCACATGAAGTGCACTTTTTGAGTTCTCATCGCAAGGTAGATGACACAAGTAAGGCTCAGATTCGATCACTTAGGGCTGCTTGTGTTCGCACCAATCAAATCATGGATTATCTAGTGAATTGTGCGGGAAGCTTTCAGAACTTGGGTTTCACTAAGACCGATGTCTACAATTTTGTTAGTGCGGATCGGAGGTCAGAGATCTTGGATAGAGATAGTGAAGCTGCACTTGCCTACTTACAAGCACGGGCAACTACCGATCCTCGTTTTTATTGTAGATATATAGTAAGTTATGGTGGTGAACTTGGCAATATGTTATGGGATGACTCTACTTCACCATTGGATTATAGTCTCTTTAGAGATGTTCTTCTTTTTGACTCGACGTACAAGACGAATGCATATAATCTTCCATTTCTTCTATTCATTGGTGTGAATAATCACAATGCAAGCACCGTTTTTGCATGTGCTTTACTTGCGGATGAAACGGAGGAGAACTACGTATGGATTCTAAATGCTTTTTTACATTGCATGGGTGGTAAGAAGCCAACCGCAGTTATAACAGATGGTTGTTCTTCAATGAGTAAAGCTATCAAGTCGGTTCTCCCTGGATCCCTACATCGGTTATGTTCTTGGCACTTGGACAATAATGCAGAAGCGCGTGGCCATGCGGAAGGCTTCCGAGAGGATTTCAAACAATACATGCTAAACTGCACTTCTATTCCACAATTTGAAGCTACGTGGAAGGGAATTTTGTCCAAGTATGACCTGGAGCACAATGCGTGGATGAAGAAGATGTATAGGCGGCGAGCTCCTGAGGATGAGGCCACTGAGGATGTCCACCCTGAGGATGTGGACACTGCTGTTGCTCCGCGCCAGACCACCTTCGAGTACAGGTAGCAGTTCCACTTTCCCAGGACAAGACTACTTCACTCACCAGTTCCAGCAGCTGAGTACTCGGCTCACCAGGCCAAGTATAAGACCAGGATGGATGCTTATAACGAGCGCCTCGACCGTATGGAGACCCAGCAGGGGGTGACCCTTGCTCACATGGAGAGGGAGCAGGGCCGATCTCGGAGTATGCAGGAGGTCCAGCAACACCTGCTCCAGCTGCTACCGGGCAAGCAACCAATCTGGAGGACTCCATGGAAGGACTCTCCACTTCCACCCCCGCCAGCTGAGATGATGCCTTCATGAACGATATCGATTTGGACAACCTTGGCGACGAGTAGTCTGTACTCGTCGCCCCTCCGAGTGTATTTTGTTTAAGACTTTTCGTGTTTGCTCCATGTGTGTGTGGAGCTTGAACTGAGTCTGTCGTTTGTTTTTGTCCTTTTTTCTTTCTTTTGTGGATTGTCTATTGTGTGGCCATCTGGGCCAACTCTGATCCCTAACTCACAGTGTGCTAGTGTGTTCTTTATGTTCCCTTCGTGTAGAACTGCTCCGTCGTTCCATATGTTTCCCGTTGACTGGTCCACTTCCAGTCTCCTGGCAGTATTTCAATCTGGTAAAATCGTTCCCCTTATCTCTCCCTCTACTCCATTGAGGGCAATGTCGTGCTTAATTGTGGGGGGGGGGTGCTTTGTATCGGTTGGAATCTATATATGTGTGCTTGGAGCCTAGTACGCTGTCCAAATCTCAAGATTTGAGGGCTCCAAGTAGCGATATTTTCATGATCATATTGGAAATGTGATTTGATTGGTGAATCGAATGGCTTTTGAACTGTGTAGGAGTTCAGTTTTTCAACTGTTTGCTAACCAACTGTGACTTGGATTGATCACTTGCTCTTGACAGTCGTTTATGCATCTAGTTCAGGGAATCAGAATGAGAGATAGAGCATATAGGTAGCCATGTGAGATTTGAGCCTGCTCGTTTCTTTCTTGTGCGATAGTTCCCTCTTCCATGATGTGTAGCATTCACATTGTCATCAACTAAGATGATGGAGACATAGGATTAGCCCACGACCAAATTGACTGTCGTGATGTGTCATATCCCCTAGTCAGCCCTTTGAGCCGTGTGTTATCCTTTCTTTTGGTCTACAATGGAAAATCACCCTTTTGCATCTCTTAGAAGGTTCCACAGAGTGGTTTTTACATGTTCTCTGCTGTTTCTGCTAAATAAAATGTGAGGGTTGGAGATAGTTCTTAAAAATTTGGGCGTGTGTTTGAAAAATGTGCATAGGTGGTGGTTCTCTCAAGAAATGAAAAAGAAAACAAAAAGAAAAAAATGATGAAAGCAAAAGAGAGCCACCACCAAAAATCTGAATAGTGCCCATTAAGTAGTGTTTCTTAGCAGTGTGGCTTGGAAATACTAACATTTATGTGACCTCCTTCGCTCTTGTGCTCTAAAGAATGTGAGTAATGCAGGGCGTATGTTTAAAAAATGTGCATAGGTGGTGGTTCTCTCAAGAAATGAAAAAGAATATCAAAAAGAAAAAAAAGGAATGAAAGCAAAAGAGAGCCACCACCAAAAATCTGAATAGTGCCCATTAAGTAGTGTTTCTTAGCAGTGTGGCTTGGAAATACTAACATTTATGTGACCTCCTTCGCTCTTGTGCTCTAAAGAATGTGAGTAATGCCAAATGGCAGAAAGAAAGTAAGTGGTTTGTTTGACTGTGATTGTGTTGGTTTCGGAATTGTAGTACCTTGTGCTATGAATACTTTCACCACCTAAAAGGCCTTTTCCCCATGTCCAAGACCCTAGCCAGTCATATGAACCTGTGTCTAAGACCTCCGGATTAGATAGTGGTGACACCCGATATGTGAACTCTAACATTTAGAGGCTGCCGTCATGGTGAAGAGACGTTAGGGATTGAGAGAATAAGCATGCACATTTTTCGCATCAATGTGTTCTGACCCCACTGGTCGAGAGTGAGCGATTCATTTTCTCATATTCTATATACTCTTTTACCTCGGTGAGGACCTAGATTTCTTGGTCTCAATTCTGATCTCTTGAGTTTGATGCATGCGATGATTGTCTTGGCTATGTGGTTGAGTCGAGTCTATGTTGGTTCATGAACAGAAGGGAGACTCTTCCTTTACCCGATTTTGCTGCATTCGAATGTCTTCTGTGGTGGTTATCCAAGTTACTGTTGAAGCTGTCCATGTGTTAATGATTAAAAGTCAGTATGATTCACATGTTTTGTGCCAATATGATATGTCCCCAATGGTAGCATGATTAAGATGTTTTGAGCTTACCTTGTATCTGACTTGGTTTGCTTGGAGACAAGCAAACAGTTAAGTGTGGGGGAATTTGATGACTTGATATATACACACGTTTTGTCCACCATTCTCATACTGTTTGAGTCTTATTTCTCGTGTTTAAGGCCAATTTCACGCTAGGTTGTTCTTGTTTGTGATATTTCAGGTCCTAGTACGCGAATGAAGGTTTGGGAACGAGTTCAGGGTCGATTGGACGAAGATTGGACGTTTGGCGAGAGGCTGAGGAAGCCACACGAGCATGCCTAAAATCCCACACGGTCGTGTGACTTGGCCGTGTGGCATCATTTTGCACGGGCAAGCAACACTGGCCGTGTAGGGGACCCTTTGTGGCCATGTGGAAAGTCTAGGGAGCTCACACAGGCAGTTGGGATTTCCACACGGCCGTGTGGTCGAGAATTTCTCGGTTTTAACCCAATTTCGGGCAAAAAGTGAGGGAATCGATTTTTTGGAGCAAAAACAGAGCCCTAGAGAGAGAAAGTGCGAAGAACACCCCCTAAGACTGGTTTTGGAGCTGGGTTTCATCAATCAAGCTTGGAGATCATCCTTGGAGTGAAGATCATAATCCTAGAGCAGATTCTTCCCATTGTTATGAGTATGACTGCTTTGTATTCTGTTTGCCTCTCTCTCTCTCTCTATGGAGTAGAACCTTCTCTCACTTGGGTGTGAAGAACCCTAGTTCCATGTGTTAAGGATCTTGATTGTAATGACTTGGGATTGTTATACTGTTTGGTTTTAATCGAATGATGCATGATTCATTGAATCAATTGAAGTATGATCATCTTTTCTTGATTACTGCTGCAACCTGAGATAGATAGAATCTGATTAGGTTGTTAGAGCTTCATCATTCGGTAGTGGTAGATTGGTTATACGAGAGTTAATTAATCTACTGCTTTGTACTGGAACCCAATTCCAGTAGTGGAGTTCTGTGCTTATTGCCTCAGCAGTCTATCCCGATGAAGGTTAGTCGCCTGCCGATTAGCCTGCTTAAGAGGGCTTGGTCAGCTTAAGAAATTCCAAGCTACCGTCGGATCTTCCGCAGTTTAATCAACAGTAAATCAACCCAGGGTAATTACAACCGAGACCTAACTAAGGAGCTAGGGGGACTCATTCCTGAGTGACTCTTCCTTGGCTTTAGAAAACCGAACCACTTCCTGCTTTCTTACTGCTTTTAGTTAAAACCATAATCAATCGACTTAGTTTGCTAGATAAAAAATATACACGGAGTGAGCAGTAGATTTAGACCTCGAATTGACAATTAGAGCTTGCCTGTTACTGCATTTCCGGACTGCGATTACACTTGGTCGCAGTTTGGTGTTGTGTTTTAGCGTGTCACTTATACTTATGCATAATTCTTTTCCCTCTCATTCACTAAAGACTAAATGTGCTTAGTTGGTTTTCGTAGGAATGGGGAAAGCTAAACAAAAGACCATGCAACCATCAGCCTCACATGCCAAAGTGAAGGCTCCTTATCGTCATCGCCGCCAAACCCAACAATGAGAAACTCCCCCCAAACGACAACGCAAAAACAACCAAGGACGGGCACGTCAACCATCTCCAGCACCACCACCACCACAAACGGAGGCTCAACTTGGAGGAGGGTTACTGCACGGCTTCCTCCAACTACCCGACGAACATAGGAGGTCTTTGGAGCGCTTCCTTCCCCTCCCATTTTGGCAGCAAAGATGCTTTGATTGGGATCTCCTAGAGCGCCTCGGAGCAGCGGACCCCGTTTGCACATGCCTCCGTCTCCCGGCATGGTGTGAGGTTCTCTCCATCAATGAGGTCATCTACCGAGAGCTTACCATTGATGTCCTCAACACTCTCTCCATCAACTATATGTCCAAGTTTAACCTCGACAAGCCCGAAGACAACATAAGTTTTCGCCTTGGATGACAGGCGAGACAGATGAGCATCACTAAGTTCACAGAGGAACTCTAGATACACCCACCAGGATTTCTCACTACAGATAGACATGGTTTGATTTCAGAGAAAATATATTCACCAAGAGCACCATTGGTCAATGCTATGTGGAGAACGGTAAAACAAAACCATGTGGCAAAGTCTGACACTGCCCACTATAAAGGGAATGATCTTCTTCCCCCCATGGCGTATCATCCACAACATTATCGCTCATTCTGTGGCAGCTAGGGAGGGGAGCCCTGGGAGTGTGACTGATAACGATGTAATTGCACATATTTGCACCCCCTAGTTCTTATCCGTTTGTGGGGCATAGTAGTGTATTTTTGGCCTATTTTACGCCGGGTTGTGCTACTTTGTCATATTTCAGGTCCTAGACGTCGAAGGAAAGGCTAAGCACGAGTTTCAAGGCATTCGGAAGTCATTCGGACAAGCTGGAGCCAAAGCACGGGCGCGCCTAAATCAAAGCACGGCCGTGTTCCTGGGCTGTGTTTTTACTGCCGAGGCTTGATCCAAGATTGTCCAACACTGGCCCAAAACACGGGCGGAACTGAGGGGATCGACTTTTGAGAGCAAAAACAGAGTTTTAGAGAGAGAAAGGGCGAAGAACAAACCCTAGGAGCTATTTGGAGTGGATTTCTCACCATTGAAGCCCAGATTGCGTCCCCAGGAGTGAAGATTGACATCCCAGATCAGATTTTGCTCATCTTTATGAGTATGACTACTCTGATTTCTGTTTTCCTCTCTCTCTCTCTCTCTATGGAGTAGAACACTTCTCTCACTTGGGTATGAAGAACCCTAGTTCCATGTGTTAGGATCTTGATTGTAATGACTTGGGATGATTATACTGTTTGGTTTTAATCGAATGATGCATGTTTCATTGAATTAATTGAAGTGAGATCAGCTTTTCTTGATTTCTGCTGCAACCTGAGATAGATAGAATCTGATTAGGTTGTTAGAGCTTGATCATTCCTTAGTAGTGGATTGGTTATACGAGAGTTAGCTTCATCATTCCAGTAGTGGAGTTCTGTGCTTATTGCTTCAGCTTTCTATCCCGGTGAAGACTAGTCGTCTGCCGGGTAGTTAGACTGAGAGGGCTTGGTCAGCTTAAGAGATTCCAAGTTACTGTTGGATCTTCCGCAGTTTAATCAACAGTAAATCAACCCAGGATAATTACAACTGAGACCTAACTAAGGAGCTAGGGGGATTCATTCCCGAGTGACTCTTCCTTTGCTTGAGAAAACCGAATCAATTCCTGCTTTCTTTCTGCTTTTAGTTAAGACCAAAATCAATCGACTTAGTTTGCTAGATAATAGATAATCACGGAGTAGGCAGTAGATCTAGACCCCGGGTTGATATTTAGAACTTGCCACTTTACTGCATTTCCGGACTGCGATTACACTTGGTCGCAGTTTAATCAATCGACTTAAGAGATTCCAAGCTACTGTCGGATCTTCCGCAGTTTAATCAAAAGTAAATCAACCCAGGATAATTAGAACTGAGACCTAACTAAGGAGCTAGGGGGACTCATTCCCGAGTGACTCTTCCTTCGCTTGAGAAAACCGAATCAATTCCTACTTTCTGTCTGCTTTCAGTTAAGACCAAAATCAATCGACTTAGTTTGCTAGATAATAGATAATCACGGAATAGGCAGTAGATCTAGACCCCGGGTTGATATTTATAACTTGCCACTTTACTGCATTTTCGGACTGCGATTACACTTGCTCGCAGTTTGGTGTTGTGTCGTAGCGTGTCAAGTTTTTGGCGCCGTTGCCGGGGACCTCTAGGTTATTGGAGAAACGTTAAAATTTGTTACTCTAGCTTTTTCTTTACTGCATTTTCTCTCTTCCACCTGTGTGCCTTGACGGGTTGCCTTTGCTGATTGTGTGCAGGTAATGCATGACCCATATCCATTCGAGAGATCTACTACCATTAGACCAGGAGCTTGAACGGACTTGCAGGAACTTCAAGCGGGCTCTAAAGGCGCGACTGACTGCGGAGGAGGCGCTAGCATAGCTGCAGATCGCCGACGAAGAAGAGATGGGTGATCCACAGGACCATGATCTGGTCCTTCCTGAGGAAAAGACCATGGGATACTACTGGACTGCCAGGGCCGCGGACATGAGGTCGCCCATTAAACACCCTCATGTGCCAGCAAATAATTTTGAGGTGAGCACCTCTATAATCACCATGCTGCGCGATTCGGTGGTGTTCCGTGGCAAAGAGGGGGAGTGTCCCCGATCACATCTGAGGCGATTCCACGAGCTTATCGATGGAATCAAGATAAATGGGGTCCCAGCCGATGCCATCCAGCTGAGGTACTTCCCATTTACCCTGGAGGGGCAGGCCAAGGAGTGGCTAGACACTCACCTCCAGGCTCTATCACCACGTTCGCCAACCTGGCGGACAAGTTCCTCACCCGCTACCATCCTCCGTCCAAGACGGCGGACCTGCAGAAGCAAATTACCCATTTTGCTCAAGATGAAGACGAGACCATCCGTGATGCTTGGGAGAGATACACTAGTCTCTTCCTCAAGCGTCCCAACCATGGTTTTACTGACGCCTTCAAGGTGGGAACCTTCTACCATGCCCTCTTCCCGAGGACAAGCAGCTGATTGATTCGGCCTGTGGCGGGATATTGCTCACCAAAACACCGCCCCAGCTGAATCAACCTTTTGAGGAGATGGCTGAGCAGGGATATGACTGGGGAACTGCGAGGAGATCGAGACGAGCACCAGGACGGGGTGTGCATGCTGTATCCACCCAGTCATCCGATTTGGTGGAGGTGGTATCGAAGCTGGTTTCAGCTATCGATCGTTCCGGGATGATTGAAGGTACCAGACAGCAACAGGCGATGCTCTGCCAGTGGTGTGAGAGTTCTCATCACACCGTGGAGGATTGCCAGGCGATGAGGGAGTCTTCTACTCCCCAGGAGCAGCTGGACTTCATCGGCAATGCCAGGCGCTTCGACCCCTACAGCAACACCTACAACGAGGGGTGGCGCCAACATCCCAACTTCTCCTTGGGTGGGGCAAATTCCAGACCACCAGTCCCCCTGGGACCACCTGGCTTCCAGAGGCCTCCTTACTAGCCCGGACAAGGGCAATTTCAGCAGCCACAACAGCCTCTCTACCCGCCCAGACAGGGGACAGTTCCACCTCAGTCACATGTGCGGCCATTTCATCAGAAAGGGGCAGCACCTGCAGCCCCAGTACAGAGTGACCCGATGGCGGAATTGCGAGATCTGGTGGGTTCCCTGGTCACCTCCAGTGCAAACAAGTTCAATAACATCGAGTAGTTCATGGAGAAAGCTTCAGGAAAATTCATGGAGCTAGAAGCTTGTCAGAGAAACACGAGGCTGTGTTTCGGGATATCCAGACCCAGCTTGTGAGTGTTGCCCAGGCTCTAGCTCAAAGGCCTCCTGGTTCTCTACCCGGTAAGACCATCCCTCATCCGTAGAACCCGAATGAGCACTGCAAGGCCATTACCAGCAGGAGTGGCAAGGTGACTGCTGATCCACCTGTTCGGGCAGAAGAGAGAGAGAGACCCCTGCTTCAGCACTTCCAGCTAATGAAGAGGAAATGGAGAAGGAGGCTGAGGTGCCTGCTCCTAAACCGCAGCTTCCCTTTCCTACTGAGTTGCACAAAGACCGACTGGAGACTGAGTTTGCCAAGTTCATGGCAATGCTGAAGCAGGTAAACATAAGCATGCCCTTCGTGGAGGCATTATCAAAGATGCCCAAGTATGCCAAGTTCATGAAGGATCTCCTCACCAACAAGAGGAAGCTTGGGGAGCTGTCTACGGTGATGCTTAACGAGGAGTGTTCTGCCATCCTGCAGAACAAACTACCAGAGAAGCGAAAAGACCCAGGGAGTTTCACTATCCCTTGCATGATTGGTTGTTTGCATATAGGGAAGTCCTTGGCGGATTTAGACGCTAGCATAAAAGTCATGCCATATAAACTGTTTAAAAAGCTAGGCCTAGGTGAATCCAGTGATACTAGGATGAGCATTCAAATTGCTGATAGATCCATTGTGCATCCTATGGGCATTGTAGAGGACTTGATAGTCGCAGTAGGGCCATTCTCTTATCCTGTTGATTTTGTGATTTTCGACATAAATGAGGATGTGGATGTGCCATTGATATTGGGTAGACCTTTTCTCGCCACCGCCAAGGCGCTCATTGATGTGAATGATGAAAAACTGATTTTGCGAGCTAGGGGTGAACAAATCACCTTCTCTGTTTCTAATAATATGAAACACCCCCAGCTCCATGATGATCTAGATGACTGTGATGTTGTTGCTGATTTTGAGACCGCACTCGCCGTCACGAGTGCGGGTTCTAACAATTTCCTTGAGAATTGTCTTTTGTTAGGGGAACAGGCACCACAGGACGTGCAGCTGGAGGAGCAGCTCGCGGAGCTAGACGAGGCCGCAATCAAGCCGATCCCTATCTCGCCCCGGATCGCTACATCATTGGAGGAGCCACCAGAGCTGGAGCTTAAGCCCCTCCCCTCTCACCTGGAGTATGCATTTCTCCTGGAGGGGAATAAGCTCCCGGTCATTATTAGCTCGGATCTGACACCCGAGCAGAAGAGCAAGCTGGTGGCTCTGCTGCAGAAGTATGCCCGAGCCATGGCATGGAAGATCACAGACATCAGAGGCATTAGCCCATCCTTCTGCTCCCACAGAATTCTGATGGAGGATGAGGTTAAGCCAGTCAGGCAGCCGCAGCGGAGATTGTCTCCTAACTTGGAGGCAGTGGTCCGGGCAGATATTGTGAAGCTCATGGATGCAGGGATCATCTTTGCTATATCTGATAGCAAGTGGGTCAGCCCCACTCAGGTGGTACCAAAAAAAGGCGGGATGACTGTGGTCCCGAATGAGAAGTCTGCATCGATTACCGGCGTCTGAACGACGCCACTAGGAAAGATCATTTTCCCGTACCTTTCATTTATCAGATGCTGGAGAGGTTGGCTGGTCATGAGTTTTATTGCTTCCTGGATGGCATGTCTGGGTATTTCTAGATTCCTATTGCACCAGAGGATCAGGCGAAGACCACATTCACTTGCCCCTTCGGCACTTTTGCTTAACGGAGGATTCCATTCGGGCTGTGTAATGCACCGGCAACCTTCTAGAGATGCATGATGGCGATCTTCAACCGACTGATCGGAGAGATCATGGAAGTCTTCATGGATGACTTCTCGGTTTATGGAGACTCCTTCACTCATTGTCTCCATAACCTGGAACTTGTTCTGAAGAGGCGTGAGGAGACTAATCTGGCACTCAGTTGGGAGAAGTGCCATTTTATGGTCCGTGAGGGGATTGTGCTTGGGCACAAGATCTCCAAGCAGGGGATTGAGGTGGATCGCACGAAGATTGAGACGATCAGTAAGCTACCTCATCCCGTTTCTGTGAAGGGGATTCGCAGCTTTCTGGGTCATGCAGGCTTCTACCGGAGCTTCATTAGAGATTTCTTGAAGGTTTCCCTGCCTCTGACTAAGCTGCTGGAGAAGGATGCACCATTCCAGTTCACTCCTGAGTGCACAGATGCATTCGAGACTCTTAAGGAGAAGCTTACCCATGCACCTATCATGGTGACTCCTGACTGGTCTCTTCCTTTTGAGCTGATGTGCGATGCGAGTGACTATGCAGTCGGAGCAGTTCTGGGACAAAGACGCGGGAAGCACTTCCAACCCATCTACTACGCGTCAAAGACCTTGAACGATGCACAGGAGAATTACACCACCACTAAGAAAGAGCTCCTCGCTGTGGTGTATGCGTTTGATAAGTTCTGACCCTATCTGGTGCTCTCCCATGTGGTGGTCTACACTAACCACTCGGCGATTCGCTACCTGATGAGCAAGGCTGATGCAAAGCCTAGGCTCATCCGCTGGATCTTGCTTCTGCAGGAATTCGATATAGAAATCCATGGAGGAAACCGCACGGCGCAGAAGGTACTACAGTCGGGCTTCTATTGGCCATCGCTCTTCAAGGATGCAGACACCTTCGCACGACAGTGCGACCGCTGCCAAAGGTCAGGTAACATTTCTGCCCGGGATGAGATGCCCCAACATATTTCTGTCATTTGTGAAATTTTTGATGTTTGGGGTATCGATTTCATGGGCCCATTCCCTCCATCTTTTGGCAATCTATACATTCTGGTTGTAGTGGACTACTTCTCGAGGTGGACAGAAGCTCAAGCCATGCCCACCAATGATGCAAGACGGGTCTGCTCATTTCTGAAGCAGCTTTTCTCCCGGTTCGGGACACCCCGTGCCATCATTAGTGATAGAGGAACCCATTTTCAAGGGCAATTCACTAAACTCCTCTCTCGCTATGGTGTTAAGCATCAGGTGTCGTTGGCTTACCACCCCCATTCAAATGGGCAAGCCGAGCTGACGAACCGGGAGCTGAAACGGATAATTGAAAAGACGGTGGATCAGTCCCGCAAGGATTGGTCCACCAAGCTCGATGATGCTCTTTGGGCATATAGGACGGCCTATAAAAACCCGATTGGCAGTTCCCCCTATAGGCTTGTCTATGGGAAGGCGTGTCATCTGCTAGTAGAGCTAGAGCACAAGGCCTTCTTGGCCATTAAGCTGCTAAACCTGGATTTGAGTGTTGCAGGTATTGAACGTAAGTTGCAGCTGCTGGAGTTGGAGGAATGGCGTTACCACGCCTACGAGAACACCCTGCTCTACAAAGAGCGAACCAAGCGTCTCCACGACGCTTGGTTAAGGGGCCCGAAGGAGTTTCAGGTAGGTGATCGTGTTCTGCTCTTCAATGCACGCCTGAAACTCTTCCCGGGCAAGCTACGTTCGAGGTGGTCGGGACCCATCATGGTCACCCAAGTTTTCCCGCACGGTGCGGTGGAGATCAGCAATGCTCCAACTGAGCCATTCAAGGTGAATGGCCACCTCCTAAAGTTATACTTGGGAGGTGCTGTCGAGCGCGCTGAGCTGCTGATCAAGCTCAAGGACCCTTAGTTCCTCTGCTGGCGTCCAGCTAAAAGACTGTAAAGAAGCGCTTGTGGGGAGGCAACCCCACCACGGTTTGCATTTCTACCCTTTTTCCTTTTCATTTTTGTCGGTTTTTGAGTCTTTGAGTCTGTCTGGAGTCTGTCTGGAAAGTATTTCGTGCCTCGGGCGGTTTGTTTTAATATGTGATTGGATAATTTTTAGAGCCGGGGCACGAATGAGTTTTGGTGGTTTGAAATTGGAATTTTGAAAAATTGCAGAATGTGCTCGGCAGTGAAAACACGGGCGCAGGGGATGAAAACACGGTCGTGTTTTCCCTCATGCTCCCCCCCCCCCCCCCCCGCGTGTTTTCCTTCCTGGCCAGAAGTGCTGGCGGCCGTGTTTGGGAACCCCAGTGCCCGTGTTTTCGAAAGGGGAGGGGGGGGGGGGGGGGGAGCACGCCCTCGACAGTAAAAACACGGGCGCGGAGCACGCCGAACACGGCCGTGTTCCAGCCCGCCCGTGTTTTAACCTCCCCCCTATAAAATTTGATTTTCGGCCCCTCTCTCCCCCCAGAACCATTTTTTTCAAATTTCCACCGCCCCCCTCACCGGCATTTCGGGTTTCTCCTCTTATCCTTCGATTTTTCGGCCATAACTCCCTCTCCCGACCTCCAAATCACAAACCGCGACCGCCCCCACGCTCCTGGCGTCGAGGAGCACAATCCCCAAAGATTTGGGCTTGTTTGGACGAGGTTGGGTTCCCGGCGGCGAGTTCTCCAGCGAGTCTCCGGTGTGTTTTCCGGCGACTTGGGGTGTTTTCTTCCACTTTCTTCACCTCTCTTGCGGTATCTACTTGCGTCTCCAGGTGTGTTTTCATTGCCTCTTATTTTATTTTTGGAGAATCGATACCTAGAGTTAGATGAAGAATTTGTGATTGTGGCATGATTTGGGACTGATTTGGTAGGCCGATGGCGTTCTTTACTTGCTATATGTATGTCTCGGGATTTTAGTTCTCCGGCCTACCATTTGCATGTTTGCATTGTGTGCGTGCTTGTGTAGTTTTTGTGTGGTGGATCGATTGGTGAATGATTGGTATGGATTTGGTGTTTGTTCCATTGGGCGCCTAGTCCACTATCCAAATCGCTCGATTTGAGGGTCCCCGGTGTGTTTGGTTGTGTGATTCTTGTGTGATTGGTATGCTTGTTTCACCGGAAGCCTAGTCCACTGTCCATATGTTTCGATATGAGGGCTCCCCGTGTGGTTTTTGCCTAACATTGACCCTGTTCGCTTGTGTGCCATTTGTCCATCCTTGTGCTTTGCAGGATCATGGAAGACTACCTCGACCAGTTGAGCATCACACAACGCCATCTGCTGCGGACCATCCGTACCCACCATATCGCCGAGCACCTGCATCTCGATTTTGAGTTGTTCGAGGCGCTTCATGCCAGGCCGCAGATGGAGGCAGCTGTTCGCCCCTATGGTTGGCGGCGCCTTCTCTGCCTCGCCGAGCTGACCTACTAGGAGCTCGTCTGGGAGTTCTACGCATCCTTCTGCCATTCCCCGAGGGGGTCAGCCGACCATTCTGATGCAGTTCATTTCACCCTTGGCGGGGTGGAGCACTCCATCAGTTACTAGGAGTTGGCCTCTGCCCCACACCCCAGCGACCGCCCCCTGTACGTGGACATCACTGATCCCACCGACTTTGCTTCACAGGCCTACTTCCAGCGCATTTGCCTGCCGAACCATGTGGATGAGCAGTACGTTGCCAGCCGACGCGGGCCACTCTCCTCCGTACGGAGTGACGGATCCTCAACCATTTGCTCACCAATTCCTACACCCCCAGCCAAGGCTCGTCCAACCGGGTCACACTCCAGACACTGTTCTTCATTTGATGAGTCGTTCTGAGGACACCATCGAGCTGGGCTCTGTGCTCGCCCGGACTTTCACCAAAGCCTCCGACAGCCAGGATCACCACCTTGTCTGTGGCCCGGTGATCACCGCCTTGGCCCACTACTACGGGGTCGACATCACTGGGATGACCATGGTCCAACCACCAACCCCGTTCAGGGAGGCCATCCTCCGCCATCAACATATGATTGCTCGTCAAGGGCAGGTACACTGGATTGCGGGTCTTCCTCGCCCACCTGAACCTGCAGAGGGCGACCAGCCGGAGTCGAGCGCAGCTGGGGGACGTCGGGTTCCTCGCTGTACTGTTCGCGGGGCCCAGACTCCTGCGAGCCCCTCCGCTGCTCCCAGGTCTCCTGCCCCCTGGTCTCTTGCTCCCGTGGTGCCCATTTCTGACTAGTTGGCGGCCATCGCTCAGCAAAACGAGCGTATTCTGGCCGCCCAGGAGAGCATTCACACCCGCCTCGATCGTGAGCGGGACCGCGGCCGTTGTCTTATGTCCGGCCAGCACTACATCATGTCATACCTGGGCTTGGACCCAAACGCAGTCCACTACCCCTTCGTGCAGTCCCCGGGGTATGAGGACGAGTACCCTCCACCCATCGGCGAATGTGGTGATGCGTTCTAGTGGCAAGTGGCTGGTTCTGCGCTTCACATGTTTTTCCAGACTAAGACTCCATGTTTTTGCTGTTTCGTTTTGTTTTTTTATTTTGGATTGTAGACTTGGAACTCCGGTTCTTTCACCCAAATGTGTCTTTTGTTGACTTTAGCTCTATGCCTTGGACTGGTACCCCTTCCAGTCCCCCTGCTATTGACTGGTCTGCCTCCCAGTCCCCGTTCCTAATATCATTTCACGGTAACATCGTTCCCCTTCCCTCTGCTCCACTGAGGACACTGTCGCATTTAAGTGTGGGGGGGGGGGGGGGGGGGTCTTTGTATTAATTGGAACTCCAAGTACTGTTGTTTGCTTGATGTTTGATCGTATTGGCACTGTGGATGTGATTGGTGAATTAAATGGCTTTTGAATTAATGCATGACAACTTGAGTGTGAGTAAGAAAGCTTATTATGATGACTGAGATGTACAGTAGAACTGTGTAGGGGCTCAGTTTTTCAACTGTTTTCTTACTAACTGTGACTTGGATCGATCACTTGCTTTTGACAGTCATCTATGCATCTAGTTCAGGGAATCAGAACGAGAGATAGAGCATATAAGTAGCCAGCCATGTGAGACTTGAGCCTGCTTGTTTCTTTCTTGTGCGATAGTTCCCTCTTCCATGATGTGCAGCATTCACGTTGTCATTAGCTAAGATGATGGAGGCATAGGATTAGCCCACGACCAAATTGACCGTCCTGATGTGTCATACCCCTAGTCAGCCCTTTGAGCCGAAAAAAAGTGAATGAAAGCAAAAGAGAGCCACCACCACAAAAATATGAATTGCACCCATTCAGAAGTGTTTCTTAGTAGTGTGGCTGGGAAATACTAAGTTTTAGGTGACCTCCTTCACTCTTGTGCTCTAACTAATGTGAGTAACGAGAATGGCAGAAAGAAAGAGTGGTTTGATTGACTGTGAGTGTGTTGGGTTTGGAAATGTGGAACCTTGTGCTATGAATACTTCCACCACCTAAAAGGCCTTTTCCCCATGTCCAAGACCCTAGCCAGTCATCTGAACCTGTGTCTAAGACCTCCGGATTAGTTAGTGGCGACACCTCATATGTGAACTCTAGCATTTAGAGGCTGCCTTCATGGTGAAGAGATGTTAGGGATTGAGAGAATAAGCATGCGCCTTTTTCGCATCAAATTGTCTCGACCCCACTGGTCGAGAGTGAGCGATTCATTTTCTCATATTCTCTTTACTCTTTATCCCGGTGAGGACCTAGATTGCTCGGTCTTAATTCTGATATCTTGAACTTTATGCATGAAGTGACTGTTTTGAATAAGTGGTTGGGTCAAGTCTATGTTGGTTGGTGAACAGAAGGGAGACTCTTCCTTTGCCCGACTTTACTGCATTCGAATGTCATCTGTGGTGGTTGTCTAGGTTGTCGTTGAGGTTGTCCATGTGTTAATGATCAAAAGCCAGTATGATCCACGTGTTTTGTGCCGATATGGTATGCCCTAAAGCCTGCTTGATTGAAACATTTTGAGCTTACCTTGTGTTTGACTTGGTTTGCTTGGGGACAAGCAAACGGTTAAGTGTGGGGGAATTTGATAACGATGTAATTGCACATGTTTGCACCCCTAGTTCTTATCCGTTTGTGGGGCATAGTCGTGTATTTTTGGCCTATTTTACGCCGGGTTGTGCTACTTTGTCATATTTCAGGTCCCAGACGTTGAAGAAAAGGCTGTGCCCAACATTAGGCACGACCGTGTTTTCCCCAAAGGTGTAGCCGTGTTTTTAACACGGTCGTGCCCTCGACCGTGTTTTGCCAGAATCGGGTTTTTGAGGCAGATTCGAGCCAAAACAGAGGGGATTGACTTTTGAGAGCAAAAACAGAGTTTTAGAGAGAGAAAGGCGAAGAACAAACTCTAGGAGCTATTTAGAGTGGATTTCTCACCATTGAAGCCCAGATTGCGTCCCTAGGAGTGAAGATTGACATCCCAGAGCAGATTTTGCTCATCTTTATGAGTATGACTACTCTGATTTCTGTTTTCCTCTCTCTCTATGGAGTAGAACCCTTCTCTCACTTGGGTATGAAGAACCCTAGTTCCATGTGTTAGGATCTTGATTGTAATGACTTGGGATGATTATACTATTTGGTTTTGATCGAATGATGCATGTTTCATTGAATTAATTGAAGTCTGAGTAGCTTTTCTTGATTTCTGCGCAACCTGAGATAGATAGAATCTGATTAGGTTGTTAGAGCTTCATCATTCGTTAGTAGTGGATTGGTTATACGAGAGTTAGCCAGTCTACTGCTTTGTACTGGAATCCAAATCCAGTAGTGGAGTTCTGTGCTTATTGCTTCAGCTTTCTATCCCGGTGAAGACTAGTCGTCTGCCGGGTAGTTAGACTAAGAGGGCTTGGTCAGCTTAAGAGATTCCAAGCTACTGTCGGATCTTCCGCAGTTTAATCAACAGTAAATCAACCCAGGATAATTACAACTGAGACCTAACTAAGGAGCTTGGGGGACTCATTCCCGAGTGACTCTTCCTTTGCTTGAGAAAACCGAATCAATTCCTGCTTTCTTTCTGCTTTCAGTTAAGACCAAAATCAATCGACTTAGTTTGCTAGATAATAGATAATCACGGAGTAGGCAGTAGATCTAGACCCCGGGTTGATATTTAGAAGTTGCCACTTTACTGCATTTCCGGACTGCGATTACACTTGGTCGCAGTTTAATCAATCGACTTAAGAGATTCCAAGCTACTGTCGGATCTTCCGCAATTAAATCAAAAGTAAATCAACCCAGGATAATTAAAACTGAGACCTAACTAAGGAGCTAGGGGGACTCATTCCCGAGTGACTCTTCCTTTGCTTGAGAAAACCGAATCAATTCCTACTTTCTTTCTGCTTTCAGTTAAGACCAAAATCAATCGACTTAGTTTGCTAGATAATAGATAATCACGGAGTAGGAAGTAGATCTAGACCCCGGGTTGATATTTAGAACTTGCCACTTTACTGCATTTGAGGACTGCGATTACACTTGGTCGCAGTTTGGTGTTGTGTCGTAGCGTGTCAGTGACCAAGCGGGATTTGAACTTTTTCCTCTCTATGGTAAAAGATCCCCCAATTCATCTTGGTTTAGTCATACTGAAACCCTACAGAAGATGACCTCCAACAAACAAATCAAGACCATCCATGGAGGTGCCTACATCACAAGGCTAGCTCGGCATTTTGGCATTGATCCGGTGGGTTCTCATTGCACCATTGCCCAGTCCACTCAACCAATCTCACAAAAAAAACCTTCGGATCTATATTTGTTGTCAAAGGTAAATGTTCCAACCAACACTTTCCTTTTCACAGTGAATGCTAAAACAGAACTAATCGGGATTCAAACAATTTAGGATTGATTTTGTGAAAGTTTTGGATTACCTACTAATCTAGTTCCTTTTGAACATTGAGCAAATGTAACTAATGCTTCTGATACTGATCATGTCTGTGTTTGGTGGTTAAGGAGAATGGTGTGCTAGGCATTGTTGGCCTCCCTCATCCTGCTCCACCTCTTTCAACATATGAGGCAAACGCATCGGAGCATGTTGTTTAGCAAATTGTCGAGGAGACTCCGGAACAACCTGCACAACATCACCAAACTACGAATCAAGCTGGACCATCCACCGACAGATACGTATCGCATTTTGAGGCATTGGGTCGGCAGAATGCCCAAATTCTGGAGCAAAATGCACTCATTCTCTCCCGCCTCGATCGAGGTAAGGATGCTCGACGCTACATCATCAAATGCAACCATCACATCATGAGGTCCTTGGGGATTGACTACAAAAATACTCAAGACCTTGGGAACTATCTCCTAAGCCAACCGAGGAAAGCAATGAAGAGGGAAGTGAAGAGGATGACAAGGGTAATGACGATGAGCAAAACAAGGAAAGCAGTGAAGAGGACAATGACAGCAATGAGGAAGAGGGCAGTGAAGAGGATGACGAGGGCAATGACGATGACCAAAACAAGGAAAGAAATCAAGAGGACAGAGGGACCAATGAGGAAGAGGGCAGTGAAGAGGACGAAGAGGGCAAC